TTCAACGATAGTTTTATGTTTGTGCATCTAGTGAATCTCGTCCAAAGCGCCCGAAAGCACAACGATCGTTTGGAAAGGTTTTGGCCTTGATATTTTGAGATATGCGTGGTGTAATATCTATCGACTATTTCGAGAAGGGAAATACCATCAACAGTGAATATTGTATAGCGTTATTGGGGCGTTTTAAGGCCAAACTTGCAGAGAAACGATTGCATATGGCAAAGAAAAAAAATTGGTTCTTCAAGATAACGCACCGTGTTACAAGTCAATGAAATCAATGGCAAAACTATGTGAATTGAACATCGAATTGCTCCTACATCCACCGTATTCACCAGATTTGGCTCCCAGCGGCTACTGGATGTTCGCAGATCTTGAAAACTGCTCATCGAATGAAAAGTTCATTGCTGAAACTGAGGCCTATTTTGAGGCAAAAGATAAATTGATCTACAAAAGCGGTATTGAAATATTAGAGCGGCGCTGGAATGATTGTATGGCTCTTGATGGAGAATACGTTGATGAATAAAGCCAGAGCCCAAACACAACGCATTTGTGACAGCGCTATCTCGACCTGCCGTAGGTCTCATCAGTGCTGCTAAGCGAAACCACGAATGAGCTGCTGGACTCAACTGTCTTTTAAAGGACAATCCGGGATAAGTAAGGTCGACATCTCCCCTTACGAAGATACCTTTATTGGGATTGACTGAGAACAAGTTGAATTTATAATTGATGGGTACTGTTGGAAAAAAAAGTGATTTTGTTTGTTATCTAGTTATTTCAGAATCAAAAAGATGGTTAGGCATATCCTGATTTGTGAATGGATGTTATAAAACTATTTTTCTAGAGAACTGTCTGATTATGAAGTCGAAATGAAGTAGGAAACGTTTGCCATAGATTTCTGTTATCGAATGTGCAAAGAAAAAAAAGTGAGGAAAATGTTTTGTGAGCGGTTCCAATCAAGTCAGTCCCCGAAAAAGACATTTCATGAAAGCCCTTGTAAAACAATTTTACTAAACTACGCAAGAGCACTAGTTGACTGAAAGTCCACATGGTTGGCTGGAAATGTTTTTGAATCATTCCGAGTTTACCAGTGGAAATAATACATTAATCTCCTTGTGAATATCCAGTTCCTTGTTTGAAGTCCTTTGTTTAATCATAAGCAATGTTGTTCTACCCCATTCTGTCGCTTTATACAATTGTGTTGCTTGTTTCCATCAGTACAAACGTCGAGGGGAAACGTAAGTTTTCAGTTGATTCATTTTAGCGTCACTTCATTTTCTTTTGGTGTAAATGGATATATCAACTATTTGGTATGGGTACAAAAATATAAAAACTTCTTTAATGTGACAGATAGCAGTGTGTGATTTGAAAATTTGTAGAAGTATACATATTTTTAGGTCAGGCATTTTTTGATATCTCTTCAATTGTCCGGATTGTGATCATCATCATTCATTTTTAGGTAGGTTGGATGAGTTATGAATATTTTTTTCGGGTATGGAATTTGATGAATATTTTTGAAACATGAATATGTCAACTGAATATTTGAACTCTTTAATTGCTTGCTGTAAAAAATAATGGAAATACGTGAAATAGTTGAGAAAATACTGGGAATAATTTAAATTTTCTACAGTTTCCATGATTCAACAATTTCTGATACCCAACAAGGTTGAAATATCAGTAAACTGTTTCTGAATTTTTATTCTATAGTATATCGACACAGAAGGTGTATAATAATTTGTATAATAACTAATCAGAGCTATTATCAAATATAAGAATATTGACAAAATATCGAATAACACTATTTAATATTAACTATAACAGGTCGATGGATCTTTGTTTACATATTTCTGCCAATGGGTAACGCCATCCCCACAAAAAGTCTTCGAATGATTCATAACGTTCCAGAACATTCCACAATATTTGAAAATGTTCTGGAATGATCCACAATGATCTGGTTAGTTCTAGAATATTTCCGAAAGTTTCAGACTATTTCCAAACATTCTGGAATCCAAATCTGTTCTGGAATCGCCTCTAATACTTCCGAAAGGTCGACACTGTCGTAAACGTTTCTGCAAGACGAAACTTTCAGCCACTATATCTTCAAAAGCACATCGAACATGAAAAACTAGAACCTTCTTCAAAGATGTGGGATACTTGACTTCTTCTGAAGTTGCTGGATTCCATCAAGAAAAGAGCCATACGCCTGATGATTGGAGACGTGAACATCACGAGCAACCTTGATAGTCTGGATTATATTATCGAAGAAAGGTTGGAGATTTGTCTCTCTTCTATAGATATTTTCACAGGAAGTGTTCAAGCTACTTGGCACATTAGATTCCGCCAAGAGCGGTACACCTCAGAAATAGATTTAATCTCCATCGATTCAAATCCAATGTCAATCGCTACTTTCGCACAGGCACCGCTCTGAGAGCGCCTTGAGGATTTTCTCATAGTGCTTGTGTTTTGTCCTTAAAAAAATAACTTCCACGATCGAACCTGGATTCGCTCCTGAGTTTCAATGGTATAACGACATATAAAAATCTCTTCAGCAGAATGGATTAAGATATAGAAAGCATACAATTCATATAGTCACACCGAAGCAAGAAGGAAAACAAGAAGGAAGGAAATACAAAGGAAACCAAACCCACCCTGCCCTACGTCAGAGTAGTAACGTACAAATTAGGAAAAATTCCAAAACAACAGAACAATAACAGAACAGAAGTTCCTTAACCAACCCAAAAGATAATGTGAATCTAGAAAACTAAGGCATATAAGGAGTTGCATGTGGAGATTGCAGCGGTAACACGTCGACCAAGCAATTATGCGATCATCATTCAGATCAGAGGAACACAAACTTGTATTTCGCAGAAAGCTGCAGTATAACCATCAGGCACGTGTGCAATATCTTCCATTTGGAAGATTCATTGCAAGTAACTCCCTATATATGAAAAGCTGAAATTATATGCATTTGGTCGAGACGATCACTAATAGACCTGTTTGGGGGTTTTAGCTCCTCACTAGTACCGGGAGGGTCATTTCAGACGGAGTGAACCGTGCATGAGATCCCCAAAAACTAACCCAGACGAGTGACTTTAATCGCGAGCAAGTGTTGGTTCTCAGTGAATCTGAAAATGAGATCAATTTAGAGTCTAGTTAAGAAATGTTTATACTTACCGGAGCCGCCTGACGGCGACTCTCGGGCTGAATATCCCGAACTCTATCTGCAGTTCCGGAAACTACTTCACAAATACATACTCCAGGGTGGGACACTCTTTCTTCCCATGTGAACCTACGATTTTCTAGGTAAGTGTGGCAGATACTAGACGTAAAGACAACAACTAATCCAGCTTATGCCGCGCAGGAAGCTGAAGTAAAACCATCACGCTTCTGTGCAATGTCACCCATCAGCGTGTCACTATCTGAGAGTTAGGCAGATTTAGACTTCAGTGTAGTGATACCTTCTTGGAAATGGCTCTTATCATCTCATAAATATCCGACTCAACAAAACATTTTTTGAAAAAAATCTTCACTACATATACTCTTTTATCACGTGGATATATTTTCCCAGTGATACTCAAAAGTTCCTAATTCGGTTTGTAGTAAACTTTGTTAAGAACCTCATACTAGTTATCAAACACCATTTAAAGGTGTTTATTGTTGGAAAACCTTCAAGCATGAAGCCATTTTTTTTCAATATAGAATAAAGAAAAACACTTTTCCTTAATTTCTACTAAGTTTATAATTTGTTACGACAGGTTTCGGTTTATAAGAACATTTTCAAGTAACTAATACAATAACAGGACAAGTACTTGAATATACACTGTTAAGGTCAGGTATCTGTAGTAGATACCTGAAATAACAAATGTTACCTCAAAGATCAATAACAATAGCATGATAACCAATTATTGGTATTGATTATTCAGGTAACATTTATTATTTCAAGCACCTATTACAGGGATCTGACCTTATCCATGTATATTTGAGTACTTGTCTTCTTATTGTATCAGTTACTTGAAAATGGTCTCATAAACCGAAACCGGTCGTAACAGATAATAAACTTTGTAGAAAATAGACAAAAAATATTTTCTTTATTCTATATTCAACATGAATTTCTACATAATGAATAGGCCATTTTTTTCAAATTAGAAAACAAGAGAATAATATTCCGAGTTGGCTGAACTCGAATAATAAGGTGATTTAGAAACATTGATAACCTGTAGGAAGACTCTGTTCCATACTAATATTCGCGATGTATTCCTTCCTTTTCTCATAGTCTTAAAAAACAACTACGATGAACCTGATTAGGAAATTAAGACCATTCGGTCATTGATCAGTATTGAAGGGTTTCATTCTTAACAAAATCCAAAACTTATTTATTGCAAGATGTAACAGGAACCAACTCGAACTTCAATGTAAAACAAGCCCAGCTTCGTGATAAACCTATCTTTCATCTATGATTTTAACAATGTTATAAAACAAATATTTCCGATATTTTTAACGCCCTGTGTTTAAAATGACTCTATGATTGCATATGCCACCGTTTAGGGTATTTCTGTTGATACGTCAACAATTTATTCAAAAGTCAAATGAAGTTTTGAGTTATGTGCCAAAGAAAATAAGGACCCATATGTTAAATTCAGTTATCAAACAATAAATTATCTGTACTTTCAGAGTTATTCTACGACACTAATTTACAAGGATAAATACATATTATGCATAACAATGAGAATTTTCAGCCTTAATCAAACTTGAAATGAGTTATTTGATGAGAATTTACCAGCAAGAGCTACAGTGAAGTCATGTAGACATTCATAGTAGTGGAAGTGATAATTGTTTGAAAATGAAATCATAATTGTGAATTATTTTCAGCTAAAACTTGATCTAAATGTTGGAAAATAAACCTTAAAAGGATTTGGAAAAGCTGAATACACTTATTTGAATTAATGAATCGAAGAGGTTTTGTATTAAAGTGTATAATATTTTAAAATTCTTACAAAGCGCTTTCGACTTTCGTCATCATCAGTGCTCACCTGAAAGTAAGTGATCTAGTTGAAAAGGGAATTTAGTGAAATTGAAGTTGTAAAATTTTTTAAGGTTAAGAAATTTGGAAAAATTGTTTGAGATTACTTACTTGTCAGGCAACAGGAAGTATCAAGATAAGTGAATTGTACATTGTAATATTTAAATTATATAAAACAAAATAGGCTTATAGCCAAGAAAATACATTTTTGGATTCAGGCCATGTGGTTCAGTCAAAGTATCTTATGAAGAAGGACAACTTGAGATAGAATGTGTCAAGTGTCATGTTAAAATAATGGTACCAACTTGAGGAGTGATCCATTATGGGTTTGATTGAATATGTAGAGGAAAATATTGAATAAATTATATTAATAAACTGTGATTAATTAATAATTCATAATCCTCTTATGAAGGGGAAGTTTACTTTAAGTTTACTTGAGTATTCAAACAATGATCATTGTTGGAAAGTTCTTTAGAAATCTCCAACTCTGTGTTGCCAACAGTGGCAACACTGTCTCGACCACGTTTTGTAATCTTATCAGTGTTTTTTCTGGTTTCCGGTTAGTCTGCCACTTTGTGTATTCAACTCATGTCACATCTGATTGTACATATTGTTGTGTTCAATAAATATCAAAAAAATATATCATGATCTGTAGAATCCTGGATTTTAACAGGTTATGGGCTCAGGAACCAAAAGTTCTTGAATTTCGTCCAAACTGTTAATTTCCGTTTCGCCAATCCACCATGACTCAGTACCTTTCGCTGCCAGTTGAACGTCTAAAGGGACGAGAAAATTTCGACTCATGGAAATTTGCAGTATGGACATATCTCGAAGAGAGCCGAATATGGTTTGACCCAGTCAATATTTGACTCTTGTGTTTATTTCAGAATAACAGAAAAATGTATGATAATAGTGGCTGTCTGGGTGGATGATCTGCTTTTTTTTTCGACCAATGAAAAATTGAAAAATCAGGTCAAGTTACAACTCACAAGATCATTCAAAATGACCGACTTTGGTGAGGACAAACTATTTTTAGGACTTCAATTAACTTATGATCACCAATCCAAGACAATTTGGCTTAGTCAGCAGAATTATATTGAACAGATTCTCAAACGATTTAATATGAATAAAGCAAAGCCACGAATAGAAGGAGAAAGGGACAACATGAAGAAAATCCCCTACGAAGAAGTAGGCCGAATACATGGCAATGTCTTCATCAGCACAAGAAGCTTTATGGTCGAGAGGTATCTCTGAAGAAATTGAGCAAACTTTGATTAGTCTAACTCAGATCTTCTGCGATAACCAGGAAGCAAGAAATCTGGCATTGAATGGTGCTTATCAACCAAGGACCAAGCACATCGACGTACAACACCACTTTATGGAAGAAAAGGTGAAAGCAAAGCTTCTCTCCTCCACGTACATACCTACCAAGAAGATGGTCGCCGATTCTTTGACCAAGGCTCTTGATGTGAACAAGTTCAGTGAATGTATCAAGTGCCAAGAATTCCACAAATAGAGCGTGTGTTCGAGTATTTATTCGTGGATCTGTGGCAATACTGTCTCGAACACGTTTTATAATCTTATCATTGTTTTTTTTGGTTTCCAGTTAGTTTGTCACATCTGATTGTACATACTGTTGTGTTCAATAAATATCAAAGTTATCTAACCTGCACTGTAGAATCCTAGATTTCAACAACCAGAAGCTCATATATCTCTATACAGTGCTCAGATGCTCCAGATACTACCAAAAATGAAAATTGTGCTTATGAGGTGGTCGAGTTCATCCAAGAAATTGTTTGAAATGACTATCTTGCACCACTAAAGAGGCCATTATGAGAAAACGATCCATCAATTATTGATCCAATTATTCCGAAAAACTTCAATAATGCCCGTTTTCATAGTACATTTCAGAGATGAAAAAGGTGTATTACTTGGACCATTAAACAATTATTTCATTGACCAGTATTCGATATAAAAATAACGAAATAACAAGTTATGTCTTTGGATTTCTTTCCAATGAAGCCTGGGCTGAACAATTTCAACAGTGATTATAAGGTAGATTTGAATACTGGATAAGTTCTTGTATGAAGTTCTCATGGCAAATTTCAAAATAGCCCAGAACGGTATAATTCCTCGCCTCGTTAATTGAGAAATCAATTTTATTCATATACTAGCTAAACACTCTTGATATTCCGAAATTTCACATACACTTTTAGAAGATGCCGTTGATCTGGTTGATTTTGATCTGGGTACGATTTGGCATATTACTGTATCGCTCTTGAAGAATGTTTTCTGCATACAAAGTGACGTCGTTACAACAGAGGAAAATAATCACTCTGTCGAAAAAAATATCAAAACTGTGATTTGCTATCCATTTTTCAAATTTTTGAAATGTGTTCCTAACAAATTACTGTCTGTCCGTGCGAAAAAATGTCATTGAAATTTCTTGTTCGCAAAACTAAAATGCATCCATTAAAACAATTTTCATCTTGACACTCGTCCATGGTTGGTTTATTTGTTTTTATTGAAACGTTTTTAGGGGTGTGCGCTATAATATAAACTCAAAAAATAATTCCGCTACCTAAACTTTAGTATTTATGTTAGATATACAGGGTGCCTCATATAAAAATTCCGCGGTCAAATATCTGAAAAATGAGAGAAAATATCCATATTCCATGAAGGCAGATGGTTTTGATGTTAAAGGGTCCTCTTATTTGCGAATAGATACAGCAATAGGCGTCATCTATTAGGGCGTCGCGACACCGACGTCAATTTTTTTGAATGGTAACCTAGATTTTACGATTCGTTTTTGGATTCTGCATTAAATTCTAAATTTAGCCATATAGCACACTTATAGTTTTTCTTAAATACTGATGAAAAAAGGCAATTTTATTGCGTATTATAAAGAGGGCCATGAATAAGTCAAAATGAATGCAATAATACGAGTTTAATGAAATGAATCCGTCAGTTATGATTCCATTGTCTGTTCAATTTTATCTAGTTGCGTATTTCTGTAAAAATTAAAATAAATGTTTCAAATTACCAAAAATATGTTACTTTGACCATAACTCGACTAACATGATGATAACGAAATCAATTAGTGATAACAAGAATCATTTCAGTAAGTGTTCGATCTGCCTCCCTTCACGTAGAATACACATATTGCAAATTTTTAGTAATTCCCGATCGTGACAGCTAAAAGCGTCTCTCGCGTTATGGAAGCACAAACATTTGTGATACTATTTTTCAAATCCTCTACATTTTGTGGACGTCGCATATAAACTAAGTCTTTGACATATCTCCACAAAAAGAAATCTATTTCCAATCTATTTCTGATTAAAAGTATCATCCAAATACTGGGTAACTATTCTATTATTGTGTAGAGGTGCAACATCTGGTTGAAACCACATATCCAGTCGAGTTTGTATTGGTAAATTCTCCAAGAGATTCGGTAACACATGTTGTAGAAAAACCAAGTACGTCTCCCCATTGAGAATTCCTTCGAAGAAATGAGGTCCTATCAAATAACCATCAATGATTCCGCACCAAACATTAACCCCCCATACAGACTAAAATCTCGTTTCTTGCACCCAATGAGGGTTCACCTCAGACCAATAGTGACAATTATGTTTGTTTATTAAACCGTTGTTATGGAAACGGCTTTCATAACCCCATAATATTTTTTTCAGAAACTGATCATCATTATGAATACGGGTAGACAACCATGCAATGAAGTTCAATCTTCTATCAGCATCTCCTAAATATGAGAATATATTTTAGTTATTAAAAATGAAATATGAAGATTTTTACCTGGATGTAGTCCTTGAACCAAATGTATTTTGTATGGATGGAATTTGATTTTTGACAAAATACGTTGTATTGACGATTTCGAAATGTTACAATGCATTGCTGGTAGAACTATATGGTTCCAACACTATTTGACATAGCACTACAACACTGTGATTCTCATCAGTAACCGTTTTTGGTTTTTTTCGCTTCCGTTCATTAAAACATCCATTTCGTGCCAAAGATTTGGCTAAGCCAGCGAATGATTTGTCTGACGATAATTTTCTGTCAGGATACCGATTCTTATGAATTTCTTCTTGCTTCGCTATAAATACATATCATATCCAATTTGTCTGCATTTGAAAATTTAACCATTTTTCGACCAATTGAAAATACTGGGTTACCATTTCAAAAAATTGGCGTCGGTGTTGCGACGCCCTAACGGATGACGCCTAGTGCTGGATATCTACATAAATAAGATGACCCTTTGACACCAAAATTAACTGTTTTCACGAAATATGGATGTTCTTTTTCATTTTTCAGTTATTTGAAAATAAAGGCTTTGGCTTTCTACCTCTCCAATTCGATACAAAAAAATGTAATTTAGGAATCTTCCAAAGAAAGGAAAAACCGATCAATTTCGAAAATTAACTCTATATAAAGATATGTGGATTTAGTATATTATCTAAATCATTATTATAAGATTTTTTCAATAAAACCGTTTGAAAACATTTTTCACTTACTTTATTTTCAAGTTTTAAAGTTTCTAATTTTGTTACTCAATTTTTCTCATTCTGTATAGTTCATTTAATGCTTCAGTATTACAAGGTGATATGTAATCCGCTATTTTGTGGCTGCGGTCATTTTGAATTGGCATTTTTTTCGAAGTGTTCTACTATTCTATTACTTGAGCCCTTTAATTTGATACCCATATTGAGGTAGTTGTGAAAAAATATGTAATCCGCGGTTTGGTAGCTGCGGCCATCTTGAATTAGCATCTTTCTCAAAGTGTACTACTATTCTGCTAGTCAATGACTGTCATTTGATACCCATATTGGGTTAGTTGTGAAAATATATGTAATCCGCCATTTTGTAGTTGCGGCCATCTTGAATTTGCATCTTTTTCAAAGTGTACTACTACCATATTGAGGTAGTTGTGAAACAATATATAATCTGCCATTATGTTAGTTGCGGCCATCTTTGAATTACAGTCATACAGAATTTTTGATACAGAATTTATTAAATTATATTGTCATCAAAACTTAATGTGTGTACCAAATTTCAGATCAATCTGTCCGGAAGGAGGTCAAACTTCAATTACTAAATTTGATTCAAACAAACAGGGCAGGCTAAATATAACCATTTGATAAAAGGTCACCGGTCTTTCATTTTGAAAATATAATGAATAGTAAATAAATAATGAATGATCTTCTGCCGTATTTCTGATCGATTGAACATTACAAGGTATTCACTAATTTTACTTGGAGGTTGGCTAAGTCGAATTTGATTATCATTAATTTTATTTATTTTTGTTAAATCAATTTCATCCACAGGAAAGAACTCCACCAGTTGAATAAGAATAAAAAAAAAATCAAAAGCAGAACCACTATGTTGAAAAATATATATGACAGTGTTATTGGTGTAATTTGTCACAACGAGAACGAATTGCACTTATCTAATTGTATAAAAAATAGTGAACGTTATTAGGAATTCGTATTTTTGCTGTCAGACATGATTGATAGATTGGAAATTTGAAAATACAGCAATTCAAAAAATATGAAATCAAAATATTTGCCAAACGCGAAAAGGATATGATGTGAAAAAAATAATTTGAAACAATTTACGAACAGAGGGGTAGAACTGGAAGCTCTAATTCATATGCTGTTTTGGGAATAAACGAAATTTTGCGATAAAAAATATGGAAGAATTGATGATATGAATCGGAAATAACTAAATAAATACTGAAGTATAAAATCAACCGTATGCTTGAAGAAACGGCCTGTATATACCGGTATGTGAAATTCAGAACGATGCATGTAAACGGTGAGAATTACAGAAAGGGTTGAATTTAAGGAGAGTTTCGTATTATAGAGCCTATTATTATCACGATGTAAGCTAGGCTTTCTATGTCAAGAGATATTGAGAAAAAATTCAAAAAGTAATTTTACTTCACCATTGCAACTTTTGACAAGCTGTTCCAATATGCTGCAAAAATTACTACAGATGGTTTTTTATATTGAGCCCATCTAAGTTATGAATTTTTATGACAAGATCTCTATCGAGAGAAACTTTGTCTGATTGAAAATGAATACTTTTTGATCACTCTTCTTTTCATCTTCTCAAATAATATCTGAGATATTGAAAATGCCCTTCGATTTTATATTAATTGAATTTACAGAAGAACGATGTAAAATAATTCCATGAAAAATAAAAAAGCCTGTCGCCGCTTGTCATCACCGATAGATTGTGACTTGGCCAAGGTCGAGCTCAACCCTACTTGTATTCTCGTTCCTTCTAGATGTGTTTGGAAAGGAGCATGAAGGAGTCAAGAGAAAATTTGAAGAGGTTTTTCGGAAACTTCACATAAAACCACCGGAGTCATTGAGGATTGCTGTGGAAAACTGTAAAACTGAATCAGTATCTCCCCCATCTTGCAATAATTTTAATGATACTCCAACTGTTGATGACGAATCTTCATACTCCAACTGTTGATGACGAATCTTCATAGTCAATTTTTCGCAGAGATTTTGAGACCTCTGCGGAAAATAAAGGGTGGAAAAATGAAGAAAAAGCAACAGGCCTCATACTGAAAATACGAGAAATTCTGCAAAATAATCCCGTGAATAACCAGAACAATTATGAAGCATTCGTATCAGCCTTGGCGAGGTATATTTCGCCACCGGCCTTGTTGCATACTACTTTACTGAAATGTTTTCGATCATCTAATCGATTTCATGAGCTGAATGAACTACTTGTCAAAGATCGAAAATTTTCAATTCCTCTATTAGTCAACCGAGTGATTAAAACTCAATTATTTTTCACAATTGTGTGTCCTAGGTTGATGTCTGTTCTTCCGAAATCTGGGTCCGGATCTGATTCTGTATCCGGGATTAAATGATTCAGTAATTGTTGAAAAGACTATTCGTCATTACTCTCAACAATACTTTTATTTTTCTACTTTTCAGGTGGATGTCTCAATTATGGACATTCGTGTTTTGGTGGGGTTGCCAAAAGGCATAACGATCAAAATGAGTATTCTGAAGGTGAGAAATATTTCCAAAATGATGAAAACGTGGAATCAACTGATAACCAGAGATTTCTGTACCAGTCTGAACAACCTCAGATTTTTTTAGAACCAAGATATGCGGAGCAACTGAGAATATTCAGACAATGGGTATGTCATTTTTGATATTTTTGTGATCTTTGGCTTAAGATTTCATTTTATAATAAATTTTTAGTGAATATTCGGCTTTTCTCTTCTCAGCATTGAAGGTTCGAGGTACTCCAAATACTTATTCAGATTTTCATTTTCTAGAAAATACACTCGACGATTAATTCATCAACAAAGTTGGCGTCACCAACAGGGTGAACTATAACTTTCATCTTTTGTGTACTAATTATTGAGAAATTTGAAATTTCTATCTGTTATGATGAGATTTATAAAACTGTCGGTTGTTACTTCTCGTTTATAAGAAAAAGTTTGTGATGCTGATTGCGAGCGGCCAATTTATCATTGTCTAGACGATGTCACAAACACATACTAGTTTTTTGTTCTCTTGGTAGAAAATAACTCCATATCAAGAAGCAAGTGAACATAACAACACTTCCAAAATACAAATCATGAAATTATAAAACAACAACAAAAATTAATTGGCGCTCTGGGGCGACTTCATTGATTCCAGTGACGCATTTGCTTTTCCAGCTGCAGGAAAACCCGGAAAAACCTACAGCACCGCATCATCTGAAGATCTTGATTTGCAAAAAAAACAAAACGTAGGGTGTCTCCAGAGGCCCCAAAAAATTCAATATATCGCCAGAACACTAAATGAAACGACTATCGTCAAACTCAAATCAGTCCGTTTCGTCTTTGACCAAGGCGTATTATGACCAGGTTCAACGCCAGAACCACAGTGAACAATGACTGCATGAAGATTATGATAGTGGTCTGCTAAATTGAAGTGTTTATCTATTTCGAAACTTCGTAAGAGTTTGGTGCTTCCGTCAGAGGTTGACTCATGTCTGAAGATCATCAGTGTAATTATTAGATTGACTGGTGCCTCAGCTATACTTGTTTTCTTATAACAGTCAGTTAGTTTGGCGCATATTTGGAAATATAGTCGATCATCACCACTTAAAAGTTCCATTTTCAGATGATTAACAATAAGCTTTGCACGGACTGGTTATTAGCCATATTAGGAAACGCTAGTTGAAGTTTCAGAAAGTCGCATACGTTTTTGCTACCTCTTGAACATTCACTACAAAGTAAACAAGTGGGGATTTTTCCAGCAAAATATTTAAAAACACAAGATGAGATAGTCTGTATGGAATCATTCAATCCAGAGCGGTCAGGAGTATTGATTCTGCTATTGTTTTGCTCACGAAGAGTATTCAACAAGAACCCCAAGAATTCGAAACAATTCTCTTGTTGTTCTAACGAGTATCTAGTGGACTTCAAAAACTCCAGGAAATCGGTTGGAGAGAAACATGATACATTCTTACGAACCTGCAGCTGCATAAACAGATGTTTGAGTTTGGTGAATAAGTAGGAATCATTAAAACCTCGTTCTTGAAATTCTTCGTCATAAACAACACTTGTGAACATATATTTTTGTAACAATAAATAGAATGGTTTCATAGGGTTTCAATTCTTTCTTATGCCAAAGCTTGTGACATGCAAAACAGTTTTTCTCTTGATATTTCTCTGACAATGGCTGTTCCCAAAACACCAGAACTGTAACATTCTTCTAGACCCACGTTTCACCCACCAATGGAAGTGTATGTCATACATTTCATTTCTATATTTGGTGTGATAAAAACAGAAAAATATGAATTGCTTTTGATTTGTTTCGGGAAAGATGTATTCACTTGCTCGGGTTGTGGTAATTTCTTCAATGCATTCTGTTCTCTATCTCTGCTACTTTCAAAAGTCCTTCTACACCGTGAGGTTGAGAAAACATCACTATCTACTGGATTCAATAAACCCGTAGCAATTTTATATCCAAATCTCGGTCCCATTGTTTTTGCAGAATTATACAAGCATCTTTAGATGATGCCATTATTGTTATTTCGGAAACGGTAAAACCTACAAGGTCGGTCGGTTTGGACAAAAGTTTCCTATTTTGGCGAACTTGAATGATCTGCGAAAGAAAGTTTTTGGGTTTCTACTACTCCATCTTGATACAAAAAAAGATGAGGGAATGTTCCAAAGAAAGGAAGGAAGTAATCAATTTGAAAATAAATAACTCTATACATGGATGTGTAGATCATGCAAAGAAGTAACTTTCAGACACAAACTGAAAGAAAGTCCTCCTGAAACAGCTATTTTCATATAAACATTGAATTACACGAAAGAAAAAAATCTTTCGAAACAAATAATTCTATATGAACAATGAATTAAAAAGAAGATTCTTTTTCTACTCATTTTGTATTTCAAACATTCGTTGTGGAATAAAAATCAGATATCATTCATATGAGTTCTACTTTAAATGAATGGTAACAAATAGCACTTACATGGAACACTGTCATCCTCACTGGTATATATCGATGTTTCGCTGTATGACACTTGCCCTAAGGCTCTTCAGTACCAAATTGGATAACATTATAGAAAATACCCACAACTTATTCATGAATTACGATTTTTAATATCACGGAATAAGCTTGATCTGCTTATATCATCGATGACATCGTAATGACATTCATTCACCTATTTGATTTGATCCCAGCCAAGAGGAATCTTATTTGAATTAAAGAAGTTATATTTTTAGGAGTGATTAATTTTTGGGAGAGAAAGTTTTTGGCTTTCTATTACTCCATCTTGATACAAAAAAAGATGAGGGAATCTTCCAAAGAATATCAGTGGTTGTTTTTGAAATATTCGCCAAAAATTATAATTGTTGTATTTAGCCTCTACCGCTTCCATTTCGGATAATATTGAAATATGGTAGAGGAACTTTCAATACTGTATCATATTTGTTATAATCTGATATAAACCAGTTTCCATTGCAACGTTTCGTTCATTATATTTCATCATCACCTTCATTTTTTCAAATACGTACCTCCAGTTTTTTCCAGCGATCTTTGTAGCCTTTGTAATGGAAAATTCAGCTTTGTAAATACATGTGTTTGTTGATGTTTTTTCTCATTACTATATGGTAATACAATTTCCGGTCCGAGCTACCTTATAAAAGAAGGGTCCATTTTTGGTCTAGTACTCAAACCTCTACATAACCTCCATATATCGCGCGAACATGTAATATACCAAGTAACAAAAAAAAATAGTGTCATAATATTCCTAACCAACTACATCGTTTACAATATCTAATTAAATGTTCAAATTGTCATCCAACGTGGCTTACACACATATTTCCTATTTCATTAGTTTTCTTATGGCAGAGGGATGAAGGAAAGGTTTCATGAAAAGAGTCAAAATCATCTCGGAAATTCAAAAGTATCCTCAAATATAGATAAAATACAAATGAATTGATAACAGTCTTCGAAACAAGTTTTGTATCGGGATAAAAAGTATACGATATGTTAATTCAGGTCAGTGTGCGTTTACCCAAATCCGTTCAATAATTTTTTGCATTACTGGGTAGCAACTAGGTTAGATTAGGTCGAAAGTGAGTGGGTCTATTCGACCCTCTACCGCAACCCGCAAAGGTTTATTGTGGCTCACACCTATTTACACTCGACTAAATAAACCCAGCTCTTTAACCAAGCCGATTAGTTTGTATGGTGAGTAGTCTTTCAGGTCAGATGGTAAGAGTAGGGCTCTGCCAAATTCTGAAAACCTGATTCGGTCCCCAGCGGGGCAGTCACAAAGTATGTGCTCTGCTGTTGGATAGCAACTAAGTGAACGTTCAAATATTTGAACACTCAAACTTTCACATTTATCAATTGAGAATACTTTTTCCTCATTAGAACAAAATTACTGTTTCTCGACGCGCCCTACATCATCAGGAGATGAATTTATAATATTTTTACCGAGTTGAAATGTATTTCCTCCAGCAGATTTATTATAATTGATTAACAAACGTCTCTACGTCCAAACAAACTTTCACATCTATAATATTAGTATCTAGAATAGAATTTACAATATTAGGTGAGGTAAGAATAATTATTTGGATAGGTTGTTGAATGAATAGGTATAGAAAACGTAACAATCACTTTGCATTTCTGTTTCAGTTGCAACATCATAGAATGGCCTTTCCGGCGAATTAGTTCAAGAATAATGAGATAAGATGATCACCCTTGAAGATCCCTGTATTTTAGAGTTTGATGTCAGTCGATGATTGCTGCTTCTATCGATAAAAATAAATGTTTTTTCCATCTGAATATTTTGTTTTCATCTACTGTATGAATTTGTATTGTATGACAACTGTGATGGCCGTTTATTTATAATCAAATATGTAATTAAACTGATGGAAAGAGTGAGCTTGGAAATTTCTTGGCTATCAACAGCCGTACAAAGATCTATTGATTTTATTTCTTCGTTGAATTTACAAGACAACAGTTTGAATGCAAATATTATTTTCGTGAAAAATTCAATAATTATTGAAATTATTTGACGTAAGGAATCTGATTAATGTTCTGTCAAACGTCAAGATTGCTCAAAGACAGAATTAGTTCACATAAAAGTGATAGTAGATTACATCCTGAGAGATGTGCTCTCAGTAACCATGTGTTCAAAGAAGGTCATAAAATGGACTACAATTCAACAAAAATTTTATCCACTGAAAGAAACACATCTAAAAGATTGTTTTTGGAAATGTCATTTATTTTACAATTTAATAATTGCCTCAACAAAAAATCAGACATTGGTCACCTTAGTGAAAAATATGCCTTTTTATTAGACATTGACAAAAATCTACATGAATTCCAAACCAATAATAATTCTGGTCTTTCATTAATATAATTTTCATAAATTTCAAACATTTTCTCTTCAATAAAAAAATTCCAACCTCCCTAAGGCAGGGTTTTACTTTTATTTTACAACTCCTCTTCACTTGTTTTCTCCTAAAGACTAATGAGGATGTTGTTCAATCAATTAACATATTTGATTTTTGGGTTTTCTCCTTGATTTACTTACAGAACAGCAGATGTCTTTGATCACACTTGCACCATAATTAGTTCTCTTTTGTTCCATGGCTCATCATCTATAAACAAACACACCTTTTTAAACTGAATTACATGATAGCTGACAGTGTCAATTGTTTTGTGTCTCTCTCTTTGTTCTTCAACCTCATGGCTTTTACCGGTAATCCATAATTTTGAAACAATTAACGATTTTTATTGAAATTTTAATGTAATATTTTTCTTTGTATCCTGTGAGGAGTCAATCTCTTTTATTTAGTGACTTGTTTATTGTATTGACATTCAACTCCATTCAACTCGTAGCTTTCCGAGGTCACTAGCCAGTGACCTCACCTCGCGGAGATGCGAGGCCTTTTGAAGCGGGAAGGGTCGTCGATAGTGTAATCTACCGCGGCCCTGACTAGGGGGTTCTCATGAGTTTCCGCAATTTCGAAAACTCCTCTATTTCGGGACTGCATACTCTCCTGAATGGTTGGGAGATTCAGATCCCGTCTGATGTTTGCGTTCCGTACATACCACGGAGCGTTTGTTGTCATCCTTAGGATTTTATTCTGGACCCGTTTCAGAATTTCGACGTGTGTTTTTGTTGTATATCCCCAGACTCCTGAGGCATACATTATCATGGGTTTAAACACAGTCTTATAAAGTAAGACTTTGTTTTTAAGACTTAGTTTGCTCTTGTGATCGAGGAGGGGATACAAATATGACATCCCAGCACTCACTTTAGTCTTCACGGATTCGATGTGCTTGGCCCAGGTAAGCTTGCGGTCTATAGTTGGACCTAGGTACTTAACCTGGGGGCTCCAGGCGATTTCTTGTTCTGCCATAGTAACTCTGAGATTCGGGTAGGCACTTTGCCTACCTAATGCAATCGCTTGTGTTTTTGCAGGGTTCACTTGGATTTTCCATTCCAGGAACCAAATCTCAAGAACTGCAACTGCAGTCTGCATATAAGCTACGCCGAATTCTCTTGCCATGGCCGAGAACATCAGGGCGGTGTCATCAGCATAGAGAGATACCTTAATATGGTCTGTTCTCGGGAGATCGCTGACATAGAGGTTGTAAAGCGTGGGTGAAAGGACTGCATCCTGTGGGACTCCAGCTTCTATTTGTCTTACCGGTGAACGGATGTTGTTGAGCTTCACAGTAAAAGTTCTGTTCTTCAGGTAGGACCCTATCCACTTGACTAGTTCCAGTGGTAGGTTGAAATTAATCATATTGTGTGGAATACCTTCGTGCCAGACACGGTCGATAGCCTTCGAGATGTCTAATAGTTAGATTTGTACGTGTCTCTTTCTATTCATCTCCTGGATTTAATTTTCAACCAGTCTTAGGGCTTGTAGTTTACAAGAGTGGGCTCTCCTGAAGCCGAACTGTTCGTCTGGTAGAAGTTATCTGTCTTCAATCTGTTCGTTCAACCTTTGCAGGACTACTCTCTCCGCGACCTTGGCCATGTAGCCTAACAGACCTATGGGTCTGTAGTTTTGAGGGAATCTTGGGTCTTGGCCTTTTTTGGGTATCATGATAATCTTAGCGTGCTTCCAGATCTTAGGAAAGAGTCTGAGATATAGGGAGCTGTTAATGATGTTTCGAAGTGACTTCATTTGGTTGTCTGGCAACTGTTCCAATAACTTGTTTGTTATTGCATCAGCTCCTGTGGTTTGTTTGGGCTTGCTGGCTCGAATCAGCCAATTCAGTTCTTCTTCTGATACAGGTCTGATGACGTCCTTGTCATTGAGTAGCAGTGTATCTTTCACTGCTTCCTCGATTCGGATATCTCTATCGATATCATCGCGAAGGTTAAGGCTTTATCTTCCGTTGTGAAACAGATACCTCGTTGGCCATGTATTGGCGTCGAAGCTTCTCTTTTGTTTTTCCTGCTCTTGACTAATCGCCAAAGAAAGTTATCTCCGGGCTCAAAACCTAGGAGACATTCGCGCCAGCGTTCATTCCTTAAGTCAAGAATGGCGCGTTTTACTTCGCTGGCTTTCGCATTCGCACTGGCTCTATCTCCTGGAAATAGAGTTCTGTGGTATCTTCTTCTGAGATGGTTTCTTTCTCTAATTAGAGTTTTAATCCGTCGGGGAAATTCGTTATAGGATTTCCTTGGTTCCACGTAGGTCGTGGTAACCGCTGTGAGAGCGTTTCTTATGTTTTCCTCGAACCGTGTTACCGTAGCGTCTAAGGATTGGGGGTTTCGGGTGATCGTTCTATAGCGGGGATTGCTTCCAAGTACGGTTTGAAAGCTTACCAGTTGGTCCTGATTCCTTCGCTGTCGTTTTGTATTGGGGAGCCTTCCCCTAGAAGGGGGAACTTGACTCAGATCACTGGGTTGTGATCTGAGTCAAGTTCAGAAATCACATAAATATCCCAGTTGAGAGTGATGTTCCTAACAACTGCTATGTCAAGAACATCAGGTCTATGCGGTATTTGGTAGTGTATAGGCAACGGCGGTCCCAAAACCTGATAACCGTGCTCATCGGTGTGAGCGTATAGCGCTCGGCCGTTCAGATTGGTAGCTCTACTCCAGTGCGTGTGTTTCGCGTTGAAATCACCTGCAGCTATTGTCGCGGTGTCTGTTTCTAGCTAGAGAGTACTGAGTGCTTCCGGCTGTATGCGGTTGTTGGGGGGATTATATACCGTTATGATTCGGTGTGGACCCCTTTGAAGGTTTACTTCGATACCTAAGGCTTCTAAACGATTTAGCGCATCCTCGTTTAGATCAATTTGAGTATGTCTAATCGATCTTTTCATGAGGATGGCTTGGCCACCTCCGCGTCTGCCGACTCGTCTGCGAGGAAATTTTTTTGTTAATTCTTTACACCACACCACAAATAGTTTGAAAAATTCCTCTCATCAAGTCCAACCCTGCAAAGAAATTTTTTTCCTGCATATAGATTTGTATCTGAAAGGTGGAACAAAGAACTGCAACAACTGTAGCAAGCAGTTAAGATACCAAGTATCTTACGGCATACCGTAAAATGCTCAACTACGTAGATCAGAATAAGTCTATAACTTCCATTGATTTGTGAAGAATGAATCTGAAGAAATCATTTTTACCACACTAGAAAAGTGGAAAAAAGTGTTTTCTTTCCGATGAGATGTACGTATACATATCCTATACTGCCCCGCCAGTATACGGCTCTGTTAAAACCTATATTTATACTTTATTACGTATATGAATCAGGTATATAGTGAATGAAAAAGTAATGTTGGTGAAATATTTAATTAGACTCCTATGCGAGTTAAAAAAAATCAAACAAATAAAAGATACAAAGGTACTTCTCAATAAGTACTAAAGGGAGAAATTCCATTTTTAGCAAATAGGTCTCGCCAGAAATTAATATTTTTAGCATTCGGATTGAATGTACATGTCAAATTATTGGAAATTTCTAGTCGATTAACATCACTATTTTGGCTATTATTTGCTGTCCATGATATATTCTGAAGAAGAGGATCTACAACAGGTGTTGGATTTCCTGTTTTAGCGAAATTGGTCCACATTTTCACCATACGAGATCGTACTAAAAGATCGTCAGATGAACCAGAATGCCCAAAATCGAAAATATAGGCCAAGTCTTCAGTATGTCCAACTCCTGAAATGATAAACCTTTATCAATGAATATTACAGAATCATTATATTTGTTGAAGAAATATTCAAAGTTCAAAGTATCGATAAATATTCAACACAATAATTGTTTCGAAAGAAAAATAATTGTAGCTATTGATTTCCATATTTTTGTTGAATTATTGCTTTTTCTGAATCAACCTAAAATCAGAAAGTGGCTGGGCTAGAACTCAGTAAGCATAATTCGCTCAGAATGAGACCAATTTCTTTTTCAATTCTTACTTAGGTTACTTAGAAACCGGTAGGTTCGAAAATAAAATAAAAGTTTTTGTTTTTTTGTTGTTTTGATAAGTTTCATAATTTTCATGTTAATTTTTGATGTATGGAAAAATGTGAAACCTGACACTGGTAAGTTAGAAGAAAAAGTGTTAATTTGAAAAATATAAACGCTCTTCACTTACGAGTATAAAAATCATTTTATTGTAGAAAACTAGTGAACGTTGTATACAGGGTGTTTCCTAACTACGGTACGAAACTTTGGAGGGTAATCCGTTAGGTCGTTTAAAAAAATTTCTTGTGAACATATGTCCGGAGTTTCTTCGTTTCTGAGATATAGGGCGTTGAAGTTAAAATATCATAAATATCCTTACACCGATTCGGTTGAAATTTGCTACAGTTATTTGAAGTGATAAGGCGCTTATTTAGCCCAAACTAGATTGAAATTATCAGGTTCAGTTGCGTCTTAGTGGGCACCACAGCCAACAATATTTAGAGAAAAATAACGCCACCAACTTTTTTGTAGTTTTTATAGATTGAGCAACTGAAAATACAACTTATTTGTGTATTGTGTATTTTCTTCATATGAAGCTTTGTTTTTGAAAAAAAATCACTTCTAAAAACTATCCATGGCCAACATAAAATGAAAATCAAAAGTAAATGAAAAACAATTCCGACTTTGAAGTAAATGAGCAAAATGTCTACCTTTTGACGAAATACACGACTGCAATCGATTTGTTTTTGATTGTCTGACACATCCAAAAATACCTGGAGTATTCCTTATGACCTTGCAATTGTCAATTATTCGATTCATCAAGTCATTTACATCTAGTACAAGAGTTTCATGAACGATAGCCTTTATATGACTCCATGAATAGAAATCTAAAGGATTCATGTCAGAACTGTGAGCTGGCAAATTTTGAGGGCCTGCACGTCCAATCCAGCGATTAGGCTAGCTGACGAGAAAGAATACTGAAATGAGCTGGGGCTCTGTCGTACATAAACTACATGATGTCTTTTACAAGTACCGGTACTTCTTCTAACAAAATGAGTAAATGCTCTCGCAAAACGTCCCGTGTAGGATTCACCCGTTAATCTTGCTGGTGGATAAAATGGACCAATTAGGTAGTCACCCATCATTCCTACCCACAAGTTCAGCAAAAATTGTTGCTGAAAATGACTTTCTCTAATAACGTGAGGACTTCTGTCGGCCCAAAAATGCTCATTGTGAAAGTTCAAAATAGCATTTCGTGAAAAATTTGCTTCGTACGTAAATAAAATATACAGTAAATAATTATTAATGTGTGCCATTGTATGAATCAAATACCAGCAAAACAATAATCTTGGGTGACAATCGCGAAGCAGTAGAGCTTGGACTCGCTGTATGTCATATGGGTATAGGAGGTTTCATTTTAGAACTATCCGGTTTTGGGATGACTTCCAGCTGCAGTGCAATCTTCCTGGTACCATTTGAAGGATTTCCTTCCATCGCATCAAGTACAGTTCAGGCGTTGTTACAGTTTCTAGTCTTACAGTACCTACATTTTTATTAAAACTCCCAGTTTCACATAATCTCGCATGTAGCATTCTGATTGTTTTAGCACATGGAATTACTCTGTTAAGATATCTATTCTGGTAAATTATCCATGCTTTTTATCCATTTATACAATATTGAATATCATCACCAAAAAAAAAACTGAAAGGATTAGATTGGTAATCCTACTAATCCTACTCCCACTAATATTATAAATGCGACAAGTTGGTGAGGATGATTTGAAGTAATGTATGTATTTACGTGTTTTACTTTTTCATGCCCAAACAGATCAAATGTAAGTTGATATCAAGATAGTTCATGACCTGGAATAACACATAGGGTAGGTTCTCACGGAAACGCGGGTAAAACAGCGGGGAACAGCTGGTATTATATAAGTGGGTACCTATTGATTGACTAACACACCTGGAATCTTGAAATATGCAGGTAGGTTCTTTGTATAGCGTGAATAAGCATCATGAAAGGGAATCAGGATTTTCCACTCCCAAGGGGGAAAATAGGGGTCCAGAAGTTGCATTGAATTTCGTCACTTTTGGAGTTGGAAACTTGAAGTTTTGGGTTGATGAAAAATATTGTAACTATTTGTTTGAAATGGTCTGGCACGAAACTTAATGTGACAAAAACCAAATTCTACGCGGATGAAGCCGCGCGCAATAGCATGTTACTTATAGAGAAATTTCGCAAAACTAACACAACCATCAACGACGTCTGCCTTCAAGCATCTGCCCGCGTTATAGTCACGTTCTCAGCGACCGCGCTTCATTGCTTAGACCACTCCTCTTCCCGCGCATCGTTTCCCGTCGTCTCACAGTAGAATATATATTCATTGTGAACAAAATGTTTGAATGTATATGTGATGACCATAAACGAAATGAATGATTTGAATTTTGAACATAACGAAAGCTGACAGCAATTATACTACCAGTGTTAATTAGTGTTATTAGATGTTAATCAACTTGATTCATTAGAGTAGTTTGGCCAAGATAACCCATAAAATTTAGATTTTTTCCAACCTATTATTTTCAAAATGATGCGTTTAGGAAAATTATCGATATCACACTATATATAGTCTGTTACATTTACTATTGATTGGTTCTCCTTTCCAAAGTTTGAAACATGTCGGCATCATCAAACGATCTCTCGTACAAGAGTAAAAGTATGTTGTGACTGGGCAGAAACTAGGCAAGTAGATTTGAAAATAAACCTCAAAAATACGCCAACGTTTCCATTATGAGTGGGGCTTTTTGTGATTACAGGGTTTCAGTAATGAAGTTGGTACATCTGTATCTGTAGAGCAGGAAGGGTGAGTGTAAGCCCACAGCACTTAGGCCACATGTGACCCATTGTACATCCTCCCAAGGAGTCGTCCTCCTAGGTCATCGTCCATTTTGTCCTTTCCAGGAAGGTGGACAGGTCACTGGGAGACATCTCCTTTATATCGGCAGGTGTAGGTCAAGACTCGCCGAACACACACTCTCTTATTGACGATAACTCCGGACACTCGCGCAGGACATGCCTGACAGTATCTTCTTCCTGTCCACACATCCTGCATAGAGGTGTGTCCACTAGCCCCATATTATGGAGGTGTTTCCTCAGTTGACAGTGGCCAATCAGAAATCCTAGTGTTAGGCGTATATTTTTCCTGGTCATTGCCACATATTTCTTCGGCGCCAGCTTCCCAGGGTCGCCCAAGGTGATCCTGGCAAGATTACATCTTTTGATTTCATTATATCTCTTTAAGGATTGAGCATGGGTGTAACATTTGACTAGTTCCGCAATTGTAGAAGTCATCAGGCCGTAGGTGCCACTGGGTCCTAAAATTCTTAGTCCAGCCGCTTCCTTGTCTAAAGAGTCGACAATGCGATTACCTTTACTCCTGTCGTGCTCTTTAACCCACCTCAGGATACTGTTATTATCTACCGAGGCTTTGGCTAAATCTTGGTGACACTCCAGTACCAGCTCTGGGGTTATACGTTGTCTGTTCAAGGCTAATAGGGCTTGTCTGCTGTCAGCGCAGATTGTTATGTTTTTGGAAGAAATTTCTTTCCTGGTTATTTCTTTTGTGGCGATTGAGATACCAGCCAGTTCTGTTTGGACCACGCTGATATTTCTTCCCATTCCCCACCTAATTCTTAGGCTTAGTGATCTGGATTACACTCCACACCCTGAGCCTTCTTTGGTTTTTGAGCCGTCTGTATACATCCGTATTGCATTTGTATCATCTGACTGTATGCTCTGTTTAATTTGTATTTTGTAGGGTTTATTAAACACAAACCTGTTTTTTTTTTTGTATCGAGATGGACTAGTAGAAAGCCAAAAACTTTCTTTCCCAAAAAGTACCAAGGTATTTTACCTCTTCAGAGAAGTTTAGTTTGCTTTTGAAGATTTCGGGAGGTTTTAAGCCCGTTAAACTTCTTTTCCTGGTGAAAAGGACCATCTCAGTCTTCTTGGGTCCTCCTGTAATTGGGTCTCATGACCTGTTGAATGTATTTTCTGAATAAATAAAAAAATAATTGAAAAAAACTGAATTGAAAGGAACATTTTCATAGAAAAAATTGAGAGTAACTTCCGAAGGAAAGAAAAAAAGTAATTGAGTTCAAAATTAAACTCTTTACAAACAAACTCTTTTGAAACGGCTACCTTCATATGGTTATTTAATTATACGAAAATTATTTTCTCCCATTCACTTTGTACTACAACCATTCGTTAAGGAATTGAATCAGACATCATTGATGAGATTGCTACACAATAATATATAATATATGAAAGAGTTACGATATTAAATTTCACTTACATGAAACACTACCTATCATTCTCAATGTCGAATTTCGAACTTTCAGAATAAGGCACTTGTCTTATTATCTCATGAGCACCGTTCTGGATAATATTACACGAAGAAGCACTCATTTCAGTCATGACATTACTACTTTATGCTACGAATTAGAAAAATCTACTGATGTCACATGACAGTACGTGAAGGCATTCATATGCTTATTCGATTTTATCTCACCCATTCGAAGCTTGTTTAAAATGAAAAGGAAACTACCAAATGAAGAAAGCAAGGAGTTCGAAATACACTATATTGAAAGATGTGTAGGTTATGCATAGAAGTTACTTGCTTTCTTTTATATTTGTATTGAGATGGAGAAGTGAAAGCCAGAAAGTTTTCATTCCAAACACTGAAAATATACCCCTTTCAATTGAAACGAAATTTCTACAGCCGGGATCACATCAAGTAGCCTTACGTTTTCACGCATGTCTTCACGTCCTGTCGTCGTGACATGAGTAGATTCGTCTCATCCATGAATTCATGACTGCAATTTTTGACAAGAAGTAATAGCTATTTATGATATGAGTGTTAGAAGTAAGGTTTCGTTTTGTGAGTGAAAAAGTTTGCGAAACGAGGGTAGCGAGTTGACCAATTTCACGACCAAAGTCACATTTAAAGTTTGTACTGGTGTCTAACGTCTTGCATAATGAAGAACAATTGTGTGATCCTGATGATATTGAAAAGGTTGCTTGTAGTGTACACGGCGAATCTAAGCAAATTACTTTGTACTTTATTATTTTTAGACTGTTTCGAAATATTTGCAGCAAGTTGTGAGATTTTGTGAACTAATTTATACTTTCATTCATTTTTTTCGAATCTGAATTATATTCTGATTTTTTCACAAAAATGGAGGAACGACGTGTTTGGAATAGAGAAGAAACTCTTCAGCTAATTGAAAATTTTGAACTGTACCCAGAAATATAGAATATACATTGCAAAGGTTTTAAAAATAGAGTAAAAAAACAAGGCACTTTTCAAAAATTAGCAGAACTATTCAACACATATGAACATGAAATTTAGCGCAAGCTACATAACTTGAGAACACAACTGAATCAGGAGTGGTATCAGCTGGTGGAATGGCTTCTCAGATTTTGATATATTTTTTATATATTTTTTCTTTCAGCAAATTCAGCAAAAAATCAAAATCTTCCGCAGACATACGTAAAAAAATTTAACTGCTGAGTATCTTCCGTTCTCAATTCAGAGAGCAGCTTTTCATGTATGCCTAGCGTAGATCGTCGCTGAATCCATTTTCTCACCCAAATTTTTCTACACTTTTTGTAATTCTCCTTTTCCTTTATTTGTTTTTTTAACTGAATATATGTTACAACAGCAGCAGCCACTTGCTGAGACGACATTTTTTTGGAAGTGTGAGTACACGTTATTCAAGCAAACGAACTTGCTAGAGTAATTTGCCGCAATAAATTTCAAAACAATTAGACTACAGTGTAGACACGCTGGCAAGTACTTGGTGAAAAAACTTTCGCAAGATACTTGCAAGTGGGCACGAGGCATTAAAGCGAAAAAATTAAAGTTATAGGCCCATAAAATCCAGAGGTTTATTAATGAGACGCCAGATGAAAAATATTTGATGATAAAGACATTAAATTAATAGATAAATCATTGATTGTTCAAATTCCAAATACAAAAATGAAAATAGGTCGTTCTTTTTGCATTGTTGAATAAAACATTAATATGTTTTGTTTATTGCTATTTGATCGAAAAAATTGTAATAAGAATACTTTTAACACTAGTGTTGAAAATACTTTGCAAACATTAACTTTTAATACTCTTGACAACCATTAAAAATGTCAGTTTTAATGACAGTTGTAAAAAAAAGTTCTAGGTTTCTTCCTCAAGATACAAAAATGCAAGCAAATGAATGAACTAAAGAAATCCTCAAACTGGGATTCCCTATAAAGTTCAATGAGGATGTGAAGGTGATGACTTCCACCTTTACGAAGACGCCACTAATGGAATCAATAGAAGACCCAATCCATGAATATAAAAGATGAACGAGGCCCTCCAAGGAGGTCAGTTGCAACGAGATTCGTAATCGGTCTATCAATGTATTCTATTCTTCGAGGATTACTCGAAATTCGAAAATAATAAGTGATTTGGCAATAATACTGATAATAATATGTAGTTGAGATTAAGTGAAGAATTCAACTGCGGAAAGACTGGTATTTCGCAACATTCATGATTTCAATGACAACTTGAAGAAAAAAGTATTAAACCTTGAAATTAAAGTCACACATAATGATTTGAAAAATTTAGAGAAACTTTTGGGTAAACAAATAAAATTTGTGACAGAATCAATTCCTTTTAATATTTGGTTAGAATTTGAAAAAAAACAAACTGTCAAATACAATAAAATTTTCAATGACATAAAAAAGAGAAATATCGATAAACTTAGTATACTCAAAAGTAATTCAAAATCAGATATTAAAACTGAAGAAAATTTGATAAAAAATTTCAGATATCATTATACCTGAAGATATAAAAGATTTTCTCGCCTTAGGTTTCAATTTCAGCTTACCACCAACTACCAAAGAGGTGAAAATACCAAATTTACTTTCAGATATTGAAAATCTGATAACTGGGTTTAGTGGTAGCAAAAAGAATCTTTTCAGAGCAAAAATTACAAATATTGTTACTAACTTTTTTTAGAAACCTCATGATAATAAAAATTATCTTGATTCTCTATTTGAAAAAACAAAAAAAAAATTGAAGAATCATCCAGAATTGATACTTACAAGATCTGATGAAGGCAACGTGACAGTGATTATGAAAAAATCTGATTATATTGAGAAATCTCTTTAGATTATTAATGAAAGTGATTCTTATGTTAAACTCAATAGAGATCCTGTTTCAACAATACAACAAAAAGCAAATAAAATCATTACAGATTTGAAAAAATCTACAATAATATCAGAAGATGAAGCAAAAATGTATATGATTCATAATTCTATATCACCCAAATATTGTGGACTTCCTAAAGTACATAAACCTGATATGAAATTGAGAACCATTATTTCTTCCATTGATGCTCCAAATAGCAAAATTGCCCCCAAATGGTCAATAAAATTCTCACTGATGCCTATAATTATGAAAATGAATTCTATATTGAGGATTCTTTCGATTTTTCCAATTTTATAAATGAAAAATCATAACTTACAGGTTATATTTTGATCAGCCTTGATGTGATTTCACTTTGTAGCAATATACTTATGCATCTAGTGGAGAAAAGTATTATCAAAAGATGGAATGATATAAATAAAAAATGTTTAATAACCCAAAAGAAGTTTATTGAAATAATTGATTTCATCTTCAACTCAAGTTATTTCTCTTTCGAAGATGAATACTATATACAAATTCTTGGTACACCAATGGGAGCTACTATTTCTCCTATTATAGCTCAATACGTAATGGACGATCTTTTTGAAAAAATACTTCCTAAAATGGGTTTTGAAATTCCTTTTTCAAGAAAATACGTTGCTGATGTCATTTGTGCAATACCTCATGACAAATCTCATGAAATTCATGATGTTGTCAATAGATATGATAAAAAATTACAATTCACTATCGAAATAGAAAATAATCAAACCCTTCCTTTTCTTGATACAAGAGTTATCCGTAAAACTGATAATTCCTTGATCACTGATTGGTATGTGAAACCTACTAATTCAGGAAGATATATCAATTACTATTCTTCTCAGAAGAAATCAGTTAAAATCAATTCAATACTCTGTTTGAAAAAAAAAATAGAAAAATTAGTACATCCTTCCCTCAAATAAAAAAATCTCAAACTTCTTAGAGACATATTGATCGAAAATTCCTATCCCAGAAAACTTCTCAATGAAATAATTTTCAATACTGGAATTGATACAAATTCCGATGTAATCAACAGAAATGTATGTAATAATAATAGTTCACCTATCAATTCTTCTTATGAATCTATACCTAATGTTGGAAATTAATCTTCAAATGTCATAAAACTTTTTCATAATGAACAAAATATCAAAATATGCCAAAAAAATATTAAAACTATAAAGAATTAAATTAAAAGATAAAACAGATACTACCAAAAAGTCAAATGTGATTTATAACATTCCCTGTAACAATTGTAATTTGGATTATATTGGAACAACATCTAGAATTCTTAAAGATAGAATAACTTCACATAAAAGTGATATAAAGCTTAATAAGAAATCATGTGCATTAGCGCAACATTTTATAGAAACAGGACATAAACCAAATTACTCTAATATCAAAGTTTTACACACAAAAAAAAATATTTCCAAACGGCTTTCTCTTGAAATGGTTGAAATTAGTAAGTCTTCTAATTGTATCAATAAGAGGACTGACATTGATAATCTCAGCAGTATATACAGTAACTTACTGGAACTACACCAAAAATCATAATGATAATAATGAAAATTGTATCAATCAACTTTCCCTTCAGAGTGAAAGATTATCAAAACATCATGCCCATTGAAAAATGACATTTATATGAAGGTATGACAGTTGTCAAACCCAAAAATTCCATTAATGTTTAACTTTCTTTCATCGATTTATATGTTCAATTCATTGTTTTTTACTCACTCAATGTACTCACTTATGATACTACTCAGAAATCAATTTGAGATACTACCAAGCAATCTGAATATATCCGGAAGGAAATAATATATTTTACCTTGGATTTTTCTTTCAGTTATTCCATAGAGTGAACCAATGTGTGAAAATTGGTAGTAGAAGACTGGTGTTCTGGCAGAATATAATCTGACACTCTCCTGAATTGGTCTTTGCCACTGATCATCGGAAATGAACTGAAAATAAGTAAAGGAATTGTTATTCAGTTATTGATTATCGATTTTGAACAACACCACAGATCTTTGCTGATTTTTTTATACGCAAAAACATTAATTCCATTGTGAGAATAGCACCAAATCTGCATATAAGTGGATATATATATGTTTGGACGAAGAGTTGCAGAACGCCATTCTCTTTGGAATCGTAAAAAATATCTGTTTAGCGCGTTAATTGTTCCAGTAAAAGTTGTATCGGTGATTTCATAAACTACATGAAGAAAAGAGAATTTGAAACTTTCTATGTTTTTACCACTTTTATTGCCTGATGGTACTTGCTTCTTTCATTAAATTGATGGGTGTAGCCGTTACCACATGGTGGGAAATCATAATGAAGGAAAGATAATTGAAAATTTCTGTTATTTACATAGAACATAGAAAGTTCTAATTCTTTTTTCTTCATTACGATTTCCTATCACGTGGTAACGGCTACATCCATCAATTTATTCATAAATTACACATTACGATTAGATCTTTACGAACTTCATTTTTTTAAATATATTACGACATGTTTCGATATCACAATAACTTTTTCGTAGTAAATATACTCTAATTTTTATAAATTCTACGTAATCATAAGAGAGATACCTACCCAGGTACTTCTCCAATCATTTATCTAAAGCATCTACTCAACTTTTATATACCTACGGTACATCGTCAAAATATGATTACCTAGATCATATTAATACAATGTCTGTTCCTAAGATAAGAAGTTTAGTAATGGTGCTCTATATGAATTCAATTGGTCATTCAGTAACGTATTTGAAGTCTATTAATTTTCATTGCTTTCAAATATTTCAGCTTTGAACCTTTTTTACTTCGTGTGAAATTTCAAAATCTCCGTTCAAGATATGATTATCTTCTAAAAAATAGTTCGAATATGTTGAACCTGTTTTCTCATTTACATAGCTCATATGATTTTCCTGGATGCGATTCCTCTGCCAGCTTCAACAATTTATACCTTAGGACAAGTTCCAGAATTGATTTATATACTTCTGATTTCTCGAATTTGAATGTTTTGTCTTTATTATTTTCAAGTAACTTTCCCAACTTTATTACCTGTTCTATATGCAATTTCAATATCTTGTTTATTCAAAAATGAAGCCACTTTTTCTGTTGTTGTTTACAGTAGAAAAACCCCCCGAATTTTGCTTTTGCGAAGACTTTTCTGGACATTATTTTGTCTATTAATTGAGCTTTAAATCCTTTGTTTACTGCAATTTGCTCAATGTATTGAGTTCTTTAGTGAAATTATCTATTGAAAGAGGAACATTGACTAATCTATGAATCTATTATAAGATACTATTTTTTGTTGCTACCGATGGGTGGATTCTTAATGAATAGAAACATCCGTATGGGAACGTTTTTGATAATTAGGAAAATCATGTATGTTGTTCATTGTAAGAATTGCCAAACACAAGAAATTGAATGAATTTGAATTGTCTGTTTCTACTTCAATAGTGAAATCAATGTTTTCATGAATTCTGTTGATATCCGTATGAAGATTATCTAATTGCCCCTCAGTACCTGTAAAACATACCAAAACTCCGTTTACATATCTTTGCCAATACAAGAAATACTTAAATAAGGGATGCTTGAGAATCAACTTTCCCAGGTTATCCATGAATATTTCCGCAAAGGCTCAACAGAGTTCTCATAATTAAACCTTTTGAAGAGGAATAAATGTTGTAGAATTGAAAATAATTTTGTTGGAATAATAACAATAGAAAGTCAATGATTTATATTTTATAACTAAGTTCACTCGATATTTACCTAATAATTCTATAATTGAAGTAATAGTATCATCAGGAGGTATGCTGGGAAATATATTCTGCACATCGAAGAATATTAATTTTGTGTTGTCTGGTAGAGTTATGTTCTTTATTTTATTCATCAAGTCATATGAATTCCGTAGAATGAATTTAGGTTGAAATTTACTACTGATGATGCAATGACAAAGGAAACTACTGGTCTAATCGGATAACTCTTTGCAGCTTTATTAGTGAGTAGAATTTTGGAGTTTGGGGGTTCATCAAAGGTAATTTGAATTTGAAGTAGGTTTGAATTTTTCGAAAAATCTTTCAATTGTCTTTGGCAAGAATGAGTCGGATCATGTTTCAGCTTTTACAAATTTCCTGAATTCAAGAAATCTAGAATTTGTGGACGTAGTCATGTCGGTTAATAGCAACTATAGTGTTGCCTTTATCTGATCCGGTTAATATGACATCGTTTTAATAAATTTTACCACGTATAGATTTCACAAGCTTCGATTCATTCACCGTGTTTTAAAAATTCTGATTTTGTAATATGTGACGTCTGGTATTTGTTATTATTGTTACTCGAAGTCCCCCCTAATTTCATTTCTGTTTCAATTCCCAAAATTCCAAAGTTTACAGTGTTATTTTCATTTGTAATGTTATATTTGAAACCTTTTTCTATCGATACTGGACCTTCGATAAATTTATGAACCTGTTATAATCGGTGTGCATCTTTTACAACACTTGTAGTCATTTCAGGGTGCCAGTGTTTCACTAAACATAGTTTATTGAAAAAAAAAATCATGAAATCCTTTTGAATAATCGAAAAGTGAAGTTGCTTGGGTTAGCTGTGATAATGGATGATACATGGATCCATCACTTCACTCCGGAATCAAAACGATCGGCATCTGAGTGGAAAGCAACTGGTGAATCTCGTCCAAAGCGCCCGAAAGCACAACAATAGGCTGGAAAGGTTATGTCCTCGGTATTTTGGGATGTACTTAGTGTTTATTCATCGAGTATCTTGAGGAGGAATAAACCATCAACAGTGAATATTATACAGCGTTATTGGAGTGTTTGAAGGCCTAAATTGCGGAAAAACGACCCCATTTGAAAAAAGAAAGGGCTGCAGAGTCACAAATCGAAGAGAACGATGGCAAAATTGCATGAAATGGGCATCGAATTGCTTCCGCACATACCATATTCGCCAGATTCGGTTCCCAGTGACTACTGGCTGTTCGCAGACCTCAAAAAATGCTCACCGGTAAAAAATGTCGCTCGAATGAAGAGGTCACTGCTGAAACTGAGGCATACTTAGAGGCAAACGATAAATCGTTCTACAAAAGTGGTACAGAAATGTTAAAGCGGCGCTGGAGTGATTGTGTGGCTCTTGATAAGGATTACTTCGATGAATAGAACCAAAATGAAAAGAATTCATTAACGAAATTCGGAACTGAGAATTTTAAAATGAAATAAGTTAAAAAAAAATATGTTGAATTATAATAAAATCGTTGGGCGTAGTATTAAAATATTCACTTAGGTTACGCTACTACCAACGATTTTATTATTATTTCATCTGATCAATACCGTAGATTGCTGAGGAGAGTGGTGTGATGACTTCTAACTAGGACCTTCCAAATAATTTTTTAGTTTCTAGTACATTATCTACATCATTATAGTCATCTGTTTTTTCAATAAAACCATTCAAAATGATTTTTTTTTCATATTCCAATGAAATTTATATTGAAATATTTATTATTGATATCCATAATTTAGGATCTTCAGTAATATATTGCAATAACTAGCTAAGATTCTTTAAGTTTACTGGTATATTGAAGCCACATTGAAATTTTCTCATGTATATTTCAATTAGTATTTTTATTATGATTAATACAAATCATAAAATTATAAAACAACGATAAAAATTAATTAGCGCTCCAGAGCGACTTTATTGATTCCAGTGGCGCATTTGCTTTTTCAGCTGCCGGAAAACTCGGAAAAACTTGCAGCATCACATCATCTGAAGATTTTGATTTGTCAGAAAACAAAATGTAGGGTGTCTCCAGAGGCTCCAATAAATTCAATACATCGCCAGAATACTTCGTGACACGACTATCGTCAACCTTAAACCAGTCCGTTTCGTCTTTGACCAAAGCGTAATAATGACCAAACCACAGTGAACAATGACTGAATGAATATTATAATAGCGATCTGCTAGATTGAAGTGTTCATCTATTTCGAATCTTTGTAAGAGTTTGGTATTACGTCAGAGGTTGAGTCATGTTTGAAGATCATGAGCGTTATTATTAGATTGACTGGTACGTCAGATATACTTGTTTTCTTATAACTGTCAGTCAGTTTGGCGCATGTTTGGCACTACCGTTGTTCATCACCTGTTGAAAGTTCCATTTTCAGATGATTTAACAATAAGCTTTGCACGGACTGGTTATTAGTCATATTAGGAAACGCTAGTTGAAGTTCCAGAAATTCACATTCATTTTTGCTACCTCTTGAACATTTACTACAAAGCAAATAGGTGAGGATTTCTCCAGCGAAATATTTACAAACACCAGACAAGATAGACTGTATGGAATCATTCAATCCAGAGCGGTCAGGAGTATTGATTCTGCTATTGTTTTGCTCACGAAGAGTATTCAGCAAGAACCCCAAGAATTCGAAACAATCCTCTTGTTGTCTTAACGAGTATATATTGGACTTCAAAAACTCCAGGAAGTCGGTTAGAGGGAAAGATGATACATTCTTACGAAACTGCAGCTGCATGAACAGGTGTTTGAGTTTGATGAATAAGTAGGAAACATTCTCGTTCTCGTTCATCATTTAAACCTCGTTCTTGAAATTCTTCGTCATGCACAACGCTTGTAAAATGCTATTCATGTAGCAAGTGTTTCCTAAATTATATATTCCAATTTTCTTCTCAAGGTTTCCAGGACAACTCTCTACTGATTCGTAAAAAAGAACATGTTTCACATAATCTGCATAAGAACCATTTCTCAAGCGAAAGCTTTTGATTCAGTGGACAGGAACATACTGTCTAAAAAATTATATAATATCGGAATAAGAGGATGTCTCCTAAGCTATATCAATTCCTACATGGAAAATAAAAAACTAATTGTAAAATGTAATGAATGCCAATCAGACATGCATGACGTAACTCTTGGTGTTCCACAAGGCTCTATTTTAGGCCCACTACTCTTTTTAATTTATGTTATTGATTTACCAAATCATATTCAATATGGTGCCACCACTTTGTATGCTGACGATACCACTGTTACTGTGTCGGGTGTTACTGAGGAGGAACTTTACCACAAAACTCAGGTAACGCTTGACGAAGTGTGTGCGTGGTGTCAAAGAAATAAACTTATTTTAAACCATGGGAAAACGGTTTTTATGAACTTTAACCTTAGGAGGCCATTAACACCTGGCTGTAATTTTGCTCAATCTGAAACAAGTAAGTTCCTTGGCACCTTTATAGACAACAAGTTAACATGGGAACCACACATTGACCACGTCTGCAAGCTGCTTAATAAAGCTTATTTTGCCATTTTACAGCTTAAAGACACTATTGCGAAACAGGGTCTTGTAAGTGTGTACTATGCATTAGCTTATTCACATATTTCATTGAATATATTAACCTGGGGACGATCGAGTCATTTACAGCGCGTTTTTGTTGCTCAGAAAAGATTACTGAGACTGATTTTCAATATAAATCGCTTAGATAGCTGTAAAGAAACTTTTATAAATAATAATATTTTTACGGTACCTAGCATTTACATCTATAAATGTCTGGTGTATGCGAAAACTAATATACTTTCTTTCAATACCTCTGCGGAAAGGCACATGTACGATACACGACATAAAAAATTATTGTCGATACCTGGGCATAAAACAGCTGCATTCAAAAAATCTCTATACTATAACTGTATTATTTTGTATAACTGTGTTCCTCAGCCTATGAAAGAAATGACGTTATCTTCATTTAAAAATGAAATAAAAAAATATTTGATGCTGAATGCTTTTTATAGTATAGATGAGTTTATAAATAGAAATAAATGACCTGTCAAAGGGAAAATAGGAGGAATGAGGAATCTAAATTATTTCCTCATTGTGTAAACTTTTTGTGTAGTGTAAGTATTTTGTTTTATCCCATATACACCTGACAAATATTTTGTTTTGTCTCATATACACCTATTTTTTTGTGAAATTGACAAGTATAAGTTATATTATACTATCATATTTGTAAATATGTTCATGAGTGAAAATGTGATGATTCAGTTTTTATTCATTTTGTTACATGACTCTACATTTATTTGTGACATTTGTGATATTATTTGTGTGTGATATTTAAGTGACGTGCCAAATATACACTATTGTATCAAATATTGGTAAATAAATATTCTATTCTATTCTATTCTCAAGCTGCGATCGATCCCTTACAATTACATATTTTTTATAAATATTTCAGTACCCAACAATCATCACAAGGGTCACAAAATGTTATTATTGATGTTTCACATCTGCCAGGCGTCCCGTGACGGCTCAAAATTTTTATTTGTTTATTCTTTATGTTTAGTATATTTGAGGATTATTCTGAATTTATATGAACTTGGAAATATGAGTGATAGAATGAATTATTTATTCTTCTGGCTGTGTTTCAGCAATACCACCTGTTTAATTAACAATCAACACAGATCATTTCCAGAAGAAAATCTGTTGAAAAGTACCAAACTGAAAGGAACATATCGTACTTACGTCCATTAACTCTCCATTTGACCTTGCGACTGATGTTGTAGGAAAGTAATGTTTCTTGATCGATCTTCCAATTTGATTATTTGTTTGTCCTTTTGTATTCATGCTCGCAGGAACTAACTTCGAAGGCTGAATATCAAAAGTAAACAGCCAAAGTCTGATAATACCTGAAACGGATTACTTTAAATTGTTTCACTTCAGGAAATATTTTCTGTTTATATTTTACGATATTAAAATATTCATGAACTCAATTTTATTGCATAGTTCATCAAGAAGATAATGAGTACCAAAAATTTGAAAACAAAATAAATCAACTAAAAATTAATACCTGTACCAACAGTACTTTATTCAAATTTCGAAAATTACCAGATCCATCACGCAAATAGTCTTGCTTGTAGACAGAATAAAATTGATTGAAATTTTTGTTTATTAACAAAAAGGTACAAGTATTCTAATTGTTAGAAAGAAGAGAGAAATAATATTGAAAAAATATTGTAAATGGGTGTTTCCAGTTATGTACAATTTTTTTAAATATTCGAATTCAGAAAGTGTTCTTGTATTCATTTCATTAAGTTATGTTTCGAGGAAAACATATTTTTTGTCGGCATCATAAAAATAAATAGATACCAACACTGACATAAAAAACTTGGCAAGTTGACTTGGGTGTCACACCAATAGGTGGTTCCACTTATGTTTCGCTTGCGTTTACGCAGCTATTTTTAAAACTAAAATTTATTGTCATTTCTGAAATAAAAAATACCGAAATTACAATATGGGGCAATAAAAACATACATTTACGATTGCCTATAAAACCTATTCAACTATTTTTTCAAATACATGTACCAACACTACTTTATTCAAATTTCGAAAATTGCCAGATCCTTCACCAAAATAGTTTTCATCGACAGGATAAAATTGATTGAAATTTTTGTTTATTAACAAAAAGGTACAATAAGTATTCTAATTGTTAGAGAGAGGAGATGAATAAAATTGAAAAAATATTGTAGATGGGTGTTTTCAGTTATGTACAATTCTTTCAAATATTCGCCTAGATGACGTCAATTATTATTATGTAATAAAAAGGTATTTGACAGTGACATAACTTGTTAATCAAACCATTATAATTGTTTTAACTAGTTTAAACTTATCGTCATTTTGAAATATTGCAAAATTAGAAATTATCCCCAGGAAGAACGAATTGATATGATTTTGATAATCGGTGACAGGGTATCCAAAGAATGATTAAAAATTGCAAATTCCACCCGTATCGCATTCAACTACATCAACAGCTTTTTGAAGAAGATTATGATCGACAACTGAATTTTTGTTTATGGGTTTAAGAAAAGTTTGGTGATGAAGAAATTTTTTTTGATTACGTGTTTTTTCCGACGAGTCAACTTTTCATAACAACGGATTAGTTGACAGAGATAACTTTCACTACTACAGTGACGAAAACCCTAATATTTTTAGAATCCTTGATCACCATCACAGATGGTCTGTTGATGTGTGGGGTGAAATAATTGAAACGCAAGTAGTAGGTCCTTACTTTTTCGATGTTCATTTAAATGGCGTCATGTTTCTTGGATTTATTAGGGATAATTTTCCTATGCTGTTGAAAAGTATACCTCTTAATATTCGTCAACGGATGTGGATGCAGCTAGATGGTGCTCCTGTACCCTTTGATAGACGTGTTAGAAACGAGTTAGATCGACAATATCCAAATAGATGGATAGGACGAGGAGAAGTAAAATATAAAAACGCCTTTTGTGTAAAAACCAGAAAAGATAGGTATAGGGAACCCTAATATAGTTTTGAAGGAAATCTACTTTTGCGCTAAATAACGCCATCAAATACGGGGTATTCCATTCAACTTTGAGAAGTTATTTAATTAAATGTATGTCCAAATTTTGAGGCAATTTTTTCCCCACTCGGAATAATATTGCATTAAAAATTTCATGTGGTAGTTAACTTTAACCTTTGAGCTAAGCAGTACATTTAATCACGAGCAGCTCGTTACACGTTACAGGGTGAAAACAATTTTTAAGTTATGGTCTGTATTTTTAAATATCTCGAAATTTCTCAGAAACGGTCAATTTTGAGTATGGGAAATATAATAGTACCTCACCTTTATTTTGTCTATAGTATCTAAAAATATAAAAAAATATAGGGTGTTCCATAAGAAAAAAATGTAACTTTGGTATGTAACTTTTATGGAAGTCACCCTGTATATTTAAAAATAATTTTGGAATATGCTCCCCATTGACCGACATATAACTGTTCTAAAAGTTTTTCCCTAACTCTCTTCATTTCTCGTAGAAATACCGAGGCCAATGTGGTGGGCCACCCTGTATATATATAAACCGAAGAATCCTGGAATTTCATTATGCGTCAACTGAGAACTCAGATACAATGCAGGTGGATTATCTGAGGTAAGAAAAACCCGAACACCAGAATCTACTGTTGCCAATGGAGTTGCACAAAAAAAGAGATTAATTTGAGAAATTGAATGTTCAGTCAGTAATCAGGAACTCATTAATGACTTGTTTAAATGTAATGGAGTTCAATTACAAACAATTTAAAAACCAGTGTCATCAAATCCTCTGAAAAGAGTAAAGATAATCAAAACGTTTCTACATCTATTCAAGAAAGCAATGTCGCAGAATTCCAGAAGTCTGATCGAGTAATAATAACTGAGGGTGAAACTACAAACACCGGTGATGATGTGTCGACCTATATTAATGAAACTGACAATTCCATTTCTAATGAAGTGAATAGTTCAAATGACAAAATGTTGGAATCTGGACAAATGTTAACCATAAAAGAAAACATCGTTCAGGATTCAATATAGTGAGCATAATTGATTAGTAGGGAACTCTGCAAACTCTGCAGTAGATACTATAACAGAGAATGATTTAGCCAACTATTTGAAACCGAATTTTTCAGAAGTTGAGCATTCTAAATATTCTCAGAAATACGTATCATTCAATGTGACCTTCAACCAGGACAACCTCAAAAAAGCTATGGAACCAGACAATTGGCCATTAATCACAGCTGAAAGAGTTATTCGACCCGAAAATTTCATTGCTTAACACTTAAAGCTTATGTGTGGATGAAGTCTCTGATTTAGATATCGAGATTGCCCAGTTTTCCAATTTGAATTTTTCATGTTTTACCGAGATATGGAAAAAGGTACCTCTTTGAAGTTTTTGAATATTGAAAGTTTTAGTTTATGCACGTCATATGCGCCAAGGAGGGGGTGTAGGAATTTATGCAAATGTTGTTGGAGATAAATTGAAAGGGGTATATTTTTAAGAGATATTAATTTCTACATCTTGATACAAAAAATGCGGGAATCTTCCAAAGAAAGGAAGGAAACAATCAACTCCAAGAAAATAATTCTATGCAATGATGTGTAGATCATGCAAAGAAGTAACTTTCAGTATCACTTACTATAATCATATTTGACAAAGACGACAAATGGTACGTATTGACCTAAACTAATATGATAACCTTCTATTGAAATCAGGTGTACCCCAAGGAATCATCCTTGGACCTGTTCTATTTTCGCTTTATTGAAGTCAATGTAACGTCATTGACAGGTAATAATACTTCGTCCAATAGCAACATATCAACAAAAGAGGCAGACTACCTGTGTCAACATAAATACAACTTACGAACTGGAAATCACCAGTCATCGGTGATTCATCCACATGAATAAACCTCTGAAGAAGCCAGCCACTCGTGCTGACATCACGTGCACTTCTAAGTTACCAATGAGTGAACGGTTACTTTTTGCACCCGAAAATCTTTTCGGGTGCAAATTCCAGAATTAAATTCAGAAATGATATGATGTTTTGTACGTGATGGTCTACATATGGAAGATATCAACATAATATAGGTTTTCAGTTTGAGAGTTGAATGAGAAATCACCCACCTGTTCGAATAATATCAAATTCAATGTGATGTTTTACATAGGTTTCAATGCTTTTAGCTGAGATCTGACAGTAAACACGAATACATATTTTTCATAATTGAAAAATATTTTTTCGGATCCAATTTTCGTTAACCATAATTATCTATTTATGTGGTTGAAATGATGAGTTTCACCAGGGTAAATTGATGTTCGATCGATCTTGAATTCATATAAAATATTTTCAAATTTCTGTGAGTTCCAGAGAAAGTTTAGCTCAGTAAATTCTCAAATTCTTTGATTTTTTAAACGGTTTCATTCAGCTTGCCCTGTTTATTTGGGTCAAATTTAGTAATTGGGGTATGACTCCCTTCCTTTTGACAGATTGATCTGATATTTGTTACACACATTTGGTTTTCATGAAAATACAATTCAATTATTTATGTATCGTTGTGAATCCAATATGGCCGCAGCTACAAAATGGCGGATTACATATTTTTTCACAACTACCTCTGTATGGGTATCAAATGACAGGTTTTGGCTAGTAGAATAGTCAAATGCAAAATCAAGATGGCCGTAGCTACAAAATGTTTTGAGGATTTAGATTGCAAGAAATTGTAAAACTGAGGCACTAAATGAACTAAACAGAATTAGAAGAATTGAGTAACAAAATCAGAAAATGAAAACTTGAAAACACAATAAGTCAAAAAAGTGTTTATATTAAACGGTTTTATCAAAAAAAAATATGTACTAAAAACTAACAAATAATTCGGAAGGTCCTAGGTAGCAGTCATCACAACAGTCTCCTTATCAATTTACTTTCATCATTTTTTTTTAATGGTTTGAAGGCGTCGACTACGAGGTCATTGGCCTTCTACTATTAGTTCGTTTATCATTTGCTTTCTTGCAAATTTTTGAGTATAGCCCAATAGCTTTCATTAATTTTATAATTCTATCTAGATTTTCATTATGATCTTTCAAACAATCCTTCATAGAATCGTTGTCTAGCTTCATCATATTGGACATTTTAGCTTTTAGTACATCATTATTTATTTATTTTTCAATGAAACTGTTCGACATAATTTCAAAGATAGGAGAGTGAGTAGAGGGATATATATGGAACGCCGTTTTACTTTTTATTGTCACAAATATTCATTCCTCAATTTATTCAACTAACAATGTATTTGTTTGAATTTAATTGATTCATGCATTTGTTCGACACATTAAAAACGATTGTTCCCAAAATTTGTTCTATTTTAAATGACACTTGATTTAAAATGTTACATGAATTAATTTGTTTGATGAAAAGTTGCGAATATAGATTCATTGTTTGAAATTTTTGGAAGTAAATGTTTGTCATATATACTTTTTTTGTAACTATCGAATAATTTACTACAATTTCTGTGAAACATGAATAAAATGGTTTGTTGATAATTATAGTTACATGAATTAAAACGATTGTTGATAATTTTAATTCGGCGCTAGCGTCGAACGGATTCTTGCAGAAGCTGAATTTTTAAATCTGGCAACATGATAGTTTAGTGATAGTAACACAATATTCCGTCCGACCGCAGCGCCGAATAAAAATTATCAACAATCAATTTAATTCATGTATCACCTAAATGCAACAGTCAAAACAATTCATTTTCACAAAATACCAATAGAAAGTAAAACGGCGTGGCACGCCGTTTTACTTTTTATTAATATTCCTTTGAAATGATCTGAATTATTTTGTTTGTTGAATTTCAGTGATACATGAATTAAATTGATTGTTGATAATTTTTATTCGGCGCCACGGTTGAACGGCGTGTTGTCGTACTATAAATGAACTAGCATGTTGCCATATGTAACAATTGAAGTTCTTGATAAATCCGCTCGATACCAGCGCCGAATTAAAATTATCAACAATCGTTTTAAATGTATCTTTCAAATACAACAAACTTTTTAAATCATCAAAAAATTTAATTTTTTGTCAGAAATTAGCTTTTTAAAAAGACTGATGAAATAAAATGATACTTGCTTGAGAATGTTTTGCACAAAAGTTGTAACCAAATTTTAAATTGAATGCATTAAAGTGAATGTTGCAAATATTGAACACTTTCAATAAAATTGAAATATAACAATCTTTATTATTCATAGAAAAATATTTAGTATGGAAAGTTAATTTGCTATATTTTCAGACAAACGAAAGTCTATTTTTATTACCAACAATGTTTCATGGAAAAACTTTGACAGTCATTCAAATATATTCATTGAAATTTTATTCCCAAACTTACTTTTAGAAAGTGAATTTAAAGTTTCATTGTAATTCAACAGTCATATAAATAACTAACATTTTATTGAAAGGTCAAAATTATATGCGGAATTGAAACGTTTGTTGAATTTACTCGAATAATACATTCCATTGATTGTTGAATTAAAATGTTGGTTTATTGCTGAGTTGAACTATATGTATATAGATTATTTTTCAGCATAATATATAATAAATTGGCGTTCCATTTTCCAATACTCTGAAACAATATTTTTCTTCGGAATCAATAAAAGCTTCAATTTATTTCATTACTCTTTTTTATTCAAATAACAATTTTATTCATGTAACATTTCAAATCAAGTGTCATTTAAAATAGAACAAATTTTGCGAACAATCGTTTTTAATGTGTCGAACAAATGCATGAGTCAATTAAATTCAAACAAATAAATTGTTAGTTGAATAAATTGAGGAATTAATATTTGTGACAATAAAAAGTAAAACGGCGTTCCATAGATATATATGTATTCGTGTGATTTCGAATGAATGAAGTGAACGTTATTGAATTTTGAAATTTTTCAAAAGTCTCGTTTTTGAACTTTGTTTTCTGTAGACATATAACAACAACATAAAAAGATAATAAACTGTGAATCGTATTCATGTTTTTTTTGTCTAGTTTTCAGCATTGTCATCAATTTAATAAATAGTACTTGTCAATGAAAACTAATCAAAAACAATCGAAAATTATTGAATATGCAAACGTAAAAGATAACTCACCAGACAAACTTTCTAACAGTGCCTCCCTCGATGTATGCCCAATGATAATAGGTATGTGATGAAACTGACCCTTCTTTAACTTTTCGTAGCTATTGCCAGTAATGATAGCTCCTTGATGCTCTGGTTCTATGACTGGCCCAAGGGGTAAACCCCCCAAAGGATTATCTCTCAATGAGTCCTGAAAATCAATAGAAACTCACCAACATGTCAAATTCAAACTTTGTTAACACACAGGACGTGAAAAGTTAATTCTTTGAAAGAAGTTCAGAATTCAAAGAATTTAAAATTCGAGTAACGATTCCAAACAAGTTGCCAGCTCTTTTGAGATTCAATAATACTCAGTGGTACTCAATTGTATCACTATTACACCAGTCTCAAGACGTAAGTCTTGAGTAATGAATCGTAGCCGTTGATTCAATGATTTCCCGTGGCAATATCTATTTACGAGTATCGATATTATACCTATCTACTCGTAATATCTATCTCGTAAGTTTTCAGTAGTAATAAATGAAAAATGGTAATTCCTGCAAAGGTAATGGATGAGGTGCTTCGTGTCTCAATGTTAGATATCATCTATGGTTAGACAAGAAAATCAAGAGTGATTGTCAATTATCCTCCAGATAATGTCTGAATGAGGGATTTATTTTGACTCCTCTACTAATGATATATAAATAGATCTTGTTCATTCTGTCGAAGTTTACTGTATGAACTACTAGCGATTCGCCCCGGCTCCGCACGGGTTCAATGCAGATCCTTAATATAAATTCATTTACTGGAAATTCAAGGACATGGAGAAACAGTGTTGAAAAGATAATTTTGTTTTAACGACGCGCCTTTTTTCCTCGCGGCTGGCGCTCCAGTTGAAGTGTTCACATCTACAGTATGAAATGAACCTACATACAAAATTTCAGCCTCCGAAAATACACCGGTACGGGGGAACAGTGATGAAAAGGTAACTTTATTTTATGAACTCGCATTTAATACCAGAGGCTGGCGGCCCAGTTCCAATAAGTATTCAAAAATATTTTCTTATTGCATATCTACAACATAAAACGAATCTATATACACAGTTTCAGCCTCCGAAAATATAGCGGTACGGAGAAACAGTACTGAAAAGGTAATTTTCATATGTGAACGCGGCCCTTTCACCCCCATGGGGGACGCTCCAGTTGGAATATTTGAAAATCCTTTCTTCGTGCGCATCTAAGACTTAAGTTTCCTAGAACTTACCAGTACGGAGAAACAGAGATGAATGTGTATTAAATGACTTCCGCATTTATAAGTATAGATTATAGCCACATGCATGTTTCTGTTTAAAATCTGTTTTTCCGTTAACCAGCTATTGCACTCCTACGAACGAGCGAGTTTGAAGGAATTTTTGTTTAAACACACATTAAAACAAAAATAGTAGGTTGTAATGGTTTGAATACCAGATATTTTAATTTGTGTTCTTTCCACATTATTTCCTACATCACTCACTATTGTTTACCTCATCGTGAGAAAGTGCAGTTATAAAAGTATTGCCAGAAAACAGAACCCCTCTGAATTTAAAGACCTTCGAGCGATCTTCTTCAAAAATATTGGCGGGAGTGATTGGAACTTGACTCAAATCACGTCTCGAAGTGTTTTTTTTTTCCACTAACAGGGATACCGTAAAGGTTTTAGTTGTACAGAGTGGGCCAAATTGGACAGTTCTAAAGAAAAACTTCTGATTTTAAACTAGAAAGAAGAAAACTGATGGCTGTATCTGAAGGTCAAATGTTTCTACAAACTTAATGATGAAAACAGCATATCGATATCTGTCATCGTTTCTGAGTAACGGAATTACCCTGTATATTCCTGAATATTTCTATAGAGCTTGAAATTACTTTTCAAAGAATGTAGCAGACTTGATGTTTTGCTAGAATCAACTTTGAAATACAGAGCTTTTGCCTTTTTTCTGTAGACTTTGAAACACTCACTTTGTTTGATCAAGTAGGCTTTGGACGAAACGGCGATAAAAGGAAATTGTATCAAATGTTGAGATAGCTTTTCACAGCAGTAATTGAAACGCATAGTTTCAATTTATACTTTATCTATTACTAACTGATGCAACTTCAACAATAATAAGAGTAATGATGAAGAACAAACAATGAAATATATTTCTATAGAGAAGGTGTTTGAAATGTCTACCAGCTTCTCCTAGACACAGGCGGCACCTCTTCTGGGCCTTTTTTTGTCGAATTAATTATTTCAATATGTCGGCAATGTGAAAATGAGATCTTTCAATCTTTTCCAGAGGTAAAAGTCCATAGGCGTTAGGTCAGGCGACCTGACTGGCCAAATGTTGGATCCTTGGTTGGCTAGCGAATTATTACCAAAATTTGCAGCCAAAAAATTGGTTCCAACTTCCATTCATCGACAAGGGGTTCAGTATTTCATTTAAAAATTTCTAAATACCTCTGAGATGTGAGAGTGCCATTATAAATGAACGGGCCGATAATTCAACTTCTGAAAACACCTGCTCATAAACTAAATACAAATTTTCCTTGATTTCTCTGCTCCACAGTAGAATGAGGATTTTGTTGTGCCCAAATATAAGAATTTTAGCAGTTGAAAATGCCGGTACTGCATTTTCCAGGAACCACCGGCAAAAATCCATGCGGCGTTCAAAATCTCCTGGTCTGAGTTGATGAAATCTTCTGGTCTGGTATGGCTTGAATTCGTGTTTTTTCAAAACTCTCCTAACGTTAGTTCTTGGTAGGCATGTTGATATTTTCAAATTTTGCGTTGACGTTTTGGGATTATTTTCAATAGCTCCTAAAACGACTATTTCTTCCAACTCCTTATACCTATTTGATTCATATAATTTTGGCCTTTTCTTTTAAAATTGACCACCATCAATCAGGTTGTGTGGTAATCTTGTGAAAATTTCTCTAAAAGATTGTCTTCTTTCTAAAAACTACACCTCCGATTGGATCTCCACAAACTTTATTTGAAAAATATATAATCACAACATGTTGAGATCAAATCGAAGGTGTAGTTTTTGTAATTACTATGGATCTTCATCAAGTAACGGCCGAATCAATCAGGAAAAAAAAAGATTATCTTCTTTTTGGATACCTCTCGTGATACACATTGCTTGTTGCTTCTGCATTTTCCCCGTTTTGTATAAAACAGGCTATTTTTCATAATTCTCATACTTCAATGCCAATGTTTTATCGTCCAAAGACTACTTGATCAAAGTGTGCGTTTTTCCGTTAACCAGCCATTGCACCCCTACGAACGACAACCCTCAGAAGCCCGGGGCTTGAATCACCGACCAACACGGCGGTTGATTTGAGTGACTGAACAAAGTACCGACTTCGATGCGACCGGTTATCCACTGGTAAAGTCTATATGATAAAAACCTAAAAACTTTGTATTTCGAAGGTGACTCTTGAAAAACATCAAGTGTGCTACATTTTTGTAAAGACAATTTCAAGCTCTATTGAAATATGCAGGAATATACAAAGTGCCTCATTAAAAAAATATTGTTCTATCAATAACTATAGATATCTTATTTAAAAACGTTTTCTACACCATTGAAATCTAAGTATAAAGTGTTTCGGAAATGTTTTCATAGAAACGAAAAACTTTTGACAGGAAAAAAGTTACAGCAACTTTTTGAAAATGTACAAATTCGAAAAACATGCTTTAACTCAGAAACGGTTCTCACTATTAAGTGTATCCCATGTGTTTCCCATTAAAAATATCCAATTCGGCCCACTCTATACAAATGCTCTATTACATGTCATGGATATACTCAAAAGGCAACTGACCAGAGAAATTGCACGGGAGCGAATTTCATATGGACTGCATGACATTGGCTGGTTATATATGCAGAACATGGGAATTCTGCATGCTGCAACATTTTTTGAAATAGACTTATTATTAGCAAAACGCCAATGTGCATAACCTCAATGTGAGGACAGCACCGAGTTTCAGATCAGATGTAGTTTCATTTTTCAAATTTGTCAAATTTATAGTTCTATACCCGAATATATTGAAAAGGTTCTGATAACAGTACTTTCGATTAAGTTTTTATATCATGTATATGGCAGCTTTAGCTTTGCAAGTGTGTGAGTTGAAGAGCTACATTGAATTTGATTTTCTGGTATGTTACAGCCACTTATAATTAACCAGAAGTAGACTTTCGATACTGACTAATATTGCAGTAGTTATTGTATGAAAGAATAAATTAAAAAACCACTTTCAATCTCAATACGAAAGGGTTTCTTAATATTCAACAACTTAAACATTTACATTCCAATCATTCTTATCATTGGAGAGTGAGGCTTTATATATTTTGGCATCTCTGATAACATATAGTAGCCCATACACGACAAAATAATGAGTGAAACTGAAGTTTCAAATAATCAAATTTTAGAGGAAATGATCAAATGCAATGAAGAATTGAAAAGAATAATAGAGGCAGTGGAAGTTAGATTATCACTAAAAATTGAAGAAGTGAAATATAGAGTTGAGAAAGTTGAGATTGAAAATAGAGAATTAAAAAATCAAATAGAATACTTGGAGAGAGCACCGAGAAAAAACAACATTGTTATCTTTGAAATAGAAAGGAAACAAAATGAGACGATAACTGTAAATGAAACTACTGAGATTCTTGAAGACTTATTGGATATAGATGTTGCTGAGTCTGAGATCAATGACGTATACACTTCAGGAAGATCAGAAAAAAGTCCTAATAAAATAGAATTCAACTCTTTCATCAAAAAATCTTCGGTTATCAAAAATTGCGCTAAATTGAGAGGCACTCGAATACACATTGTGAATGACTTGACACCTAAACAGAGAGAGGAGGGAAAAATCCTAAGGAAGCACCTTTATCTTGCAAAACAAAACAATGAAAATAATTGTTACATGAGAAACGATAAACTGATTGTTGATAATAAAGTGTATACTGTAGCTGAACTTGAAACATTCGCAGATATCGAATCAATTCAAAGACAACCCTCTAGCGATCCAGGAACGCCCGTTGCCAGTAAGTCTAGACAACAATTTCAAGAAATACAGGAAATACAGCCGTCTCGACAAAAAACGGAAACTCTGGAAAAACTAGCAGACTCCCGAAATATTTCCACTTCAAAACCAGAAACAAGAAACTTGATAAGGAATGTATAACTGACAGGCCCGTTA